TATTATAATTCTTAACCAATTTAATGATTTGAATACGAAACTAAGTAATTTTCAATATAAGGAACTAGAACAGAGTAATGAGTCTTATGAATTCAAAACAGACTAGAATATTAATGGAATTTTCATTGTAATGTGTATAAACCCAACGACAAATGGAGTTACCCAGATTGGGCAAAAGATGCAGATGTTTTACACAGCAAATTATTGATTTATTCAACAGTTTCGGGATGTATAAAATACCTAAATGGCACGTTTCAGATTATAGTGCTTGGACATGAAATCAACTAACTAGCCAGTTTTCCACTTCCATGTAAACCATTTCACATTTGATGATAAAAATTCAACGCACTTTACAAATCCAATTTCTTTTCAGCCGCCAGTGTCTACTGGGCGTTATGCAAAGTCGTCTCCATGATAGATTCTGCATTACAAAATCCGTTTGACGATTTGGTCTTTTCACTCCCTCATTTCAATTTCCGAAAAAGCATTTTCTGTTTTCTACAAACAAAAATAATATAGTTCGTTTGTATCAAAGGTTTTAATATCTACTCAGCAACAATTCCTTCATAACAGAATTCACTCTACAAGTACAACATCGATATAACATAAATAAGGAAATGGATATAACATATAAGAGTGAAGTTTCGTAGGAAATAATTCGAAAAGAAGGACCTATTAATTACACGCAACATACTTTTAAAATAAATATTTGGTTAAAGACTTTTCTACTATCGCTCGCAGGAGGTATTTCACTGCTTCTACCATCTTTATATACCCAGCGCTCTGCAGTGAACTAACGGGGAGGTCCGAAACTTCTAGGTGTTTGATTTCAATTTCCTGATTCATACACACTGAACTTTGACTAATGTCTCCGTATCCTAAGAAGTGACTTTGACCTTCCTTTTGGTAATTCAATGCATGTGTTTCTTTCTCTTTACAAAGTAAAATGTGTTTCCTATACAACGCCAAGTTTGATATATATTTTTAAACAAAATTGTCGCCTGTCATGAGTGAGGCAAAACTTTAAACGTTTTAATAAAACCCATACTAGAAACATTCTACAGTCTAGAAAATCTTCTTGGGCAATCAGCCGCGGCAACTGGTTACCATAATTGATTGCTGATTGCCCGAGAAGATTTTATTAATTGTACTCTCACTGAGAAAGTCTCAAATCTGTCTTAATAAAATCTGTTTTTCCTTTCGATCAATATATCACAATGCAGACTGCGTAAGTTATGTTATTAAAATTGCTGTTGGCAGGATTTGAGACTTACATGGGTCTGATCATGGAGGTAACAAAGACGTAACATTATATTTCTACCAGACTACACGGCACAACAATCCAGAAGACAGCCATCTTCAGACTCACGTGAAAAACTCAAATTCTACAATCTAGGTATTTATTACCAAGAAAATGATCACAATATTTTTTGATCATAATGTTAAAGCTGAATAGACAGTCTATGATTCCTATATCTTCATCAGACGGTATCCATTGATAAAAAAGCTTGCTTTTGAGTATAGTCACATTGACCTTGTATTTCTCCTGCAGTTCTTGGATTTCCTAACGTTGTAGGACATAACCAGTTGCCATGCCAACAACCTCAAATAAACAGCTTTATCAAGCATTCATTCTGTTTATCAGAGTAAGATTTTTCAGGTTTGTAAGTGAAGGAGATGAAATAGCAGAATATTGATTGTGACACAAATATATTTTTCCATATATTATTTCACAGTATCTTCATCAAGGACATGAAAACAACTGATAACAACTTCAAAGAAGACTTTCCATTCCGCTTGCAACAGCACCAACAAGTGGAAACAAGAACAGGGTAGAGATCAATTTCCTAAGAGTATTTCTATTTTATTTAATACTTTAACTATAATCTTCCTTTCACTCAGACAAGATTTATGTAACATGAATATGACGAGAAATCACTGTGACATGTAAAGCGTGAAACTGGAACCTGTAGTACAACAAAGAAAAATGTTGATTGCTGAGGTCTTCATGACCCACATGACAGTGATATTGATGACAAATAATGCAATTAATACAATGTAATGAAGTCCGTGAAACTAGTGCAGATATCGTGTTGGAACTTGCGCCACTCTCACATGATTTACTGCATACGTTCTGCAGTGACCAGTGATGAGGTAAGGGATAAGAAAGGATGGAAGAGTTTGCGATGAGACAGTTAGAATGTAGTAATGGTTTCGAGATTACATTAGAATTATTTGCGTTTCGTCTAATAATCAAAAAAGAAAAGGCTTTGTTGATTAATATTAATTTTCTCTTCAAGTAAACTTATTATTTAATTTCATGGAATATTTTGGTCTATGTACAATGATGCCATCATTATAAATATTTTGAGTTAAAGCGTGCTACTCCTGATTGCCCATGTTAGTGGAGGATATATGAAGCAAAGATAATTGGAAATGTGAAAAACCCTAAATGTCTTTCTTTGTGTGATGTTGCCATGACAGTCACAATGCTATGTGAAAAGGGGGGGGGGGGGTAATAGGATTTACCTCAACCCAAAAATGGGTCACAGAATACAAACAATGCCATAAATCACTAGCAGAAACACATAGGGAGGAGTGGGAGGGATAAAACATAGGTTTTCAAGTAACCATGTGTACAACAATGTTTAATTTTCACCTATCTATAACTGTTTATTTAAGATATTTTTAGCAATTCTCCATATATTGAGACAGCTATCTCCATCTACAACCTGAAGATCTGTAATGCTATGATAACAAGGAATCCACTTAAAATGTTAATAAATTGAACAAGTAACAGAAAATGTAAAAGAAGAGGCACAAGTAATCAGCAAGGAAACTGTTGAGGAAACCTCATTAACACTTCACTGTTTTCTTTTGCAGGTGGATGAAGTTTGGTTCAAGGTTAAGCAATTTACATTTTGTGGGTACAAATGTAATAGCAACAAGAACTGGCTGCCATATTTTGTTTCATGACTTGTCAACTCACACAGATACAATATACACTGCCAATGACCACGAATCTGGAGATGGAATTACATGTGTGACTGGTCATCAAAATACTGCTATGTTTGCATTTGGCGAGAGATGCCTTAAACCACGCATTTTCATTAAAGACTATCCGAGTTTTACGACTGTTTCCTTACTTAAAGGTAGAGTATTATTAATACATTGTGCAATGTGACAAATATATTCCCCATGCTCTTAAATACCTTCTGCTGGGTTCAGCTCAAATTCTCTGGTATCAGAAGACAAAAGGTCAACTTACTGTACGTGATGCCAAATCTGTGATGTGGGGCATTTTTCAGTCATATTATTTGTGCATATCAGACATGAATCGTGGTTCAAAACCCATATTAAACTGTAGATTTTCTTCCATTAGGGAAGTGGAGTACACTTCATGGGTGCCCCCACCCCAGAAATATCAAGGATGAAGAGAAGAGGAAGGTCCAGTGGAGATATTATCACAATAACAATGTATCTGTTGCATGACAAATGCATTTTTTGTGGTTGACAGGTGGAAGTGGCAGCCATTATAAGTCTATTTCCTTCTCAGAAATGGAGTTTTTGGTCTCCTTGAGTTCATTGCCAGATTTTGAAATCACAGTATGGAACTGGAGAACAGGACAAAAACTCATATCAAAAAAGACTTACGTCAACAATGAAAGTCAGATACTCAGGTAACTGAAAACTGATATCTGTACATTTCCCAAGATCAAAATAGATGAACTAGATTAAGTCAATACTCGATAAGACACCATTCTGCACAAGGATGTGGGCAATCATTTGTGATCTGAATTCATGATCCCATGTTTAGGTGACCAGGTAAGTTATTACATTAAAACTAACAACAGTTAGAAAAGCTGCATGCATACACTTATAGGCCATAAATTTCCACTGTTGGTTAGCTAAATATCTTGTTATTTCACTTGACAATAACACTGTCCTACAATTGGAAAAATTCTTTGTGTAGATAGATTGTTTGGCTGGCTACTTCTGAATTCTGTATCAACTGCAAGGTTATTCAGTACTGAATGAGATAAACAAATGGAAACAATGTGAAGTAGTAGTCATAACCTATCCCAACATTTGTTTTGGAAAAGTGAATTAAAAAGAAAATATCCAACTACTGCACTGACATGTGGCAATGAGACCTGGGTAATAAGGAAGAGAATTAAGATATGCAAATACAGTCTGCTGAAATTACACTTTTTGCAATCTGTTAAAGAGCTGCACAAGAAAACAAAGGTTTCATGGCGGAGTTTACAACATATGAATTAAAAGAAATATAGTAAATTATGGACAGAAATGGGTTAAATATAGAAAAAATGAATGGTGATAGAATATTAAAAGGTGCAAAATACAATCTGAGAGGAGGGAACAGTTTAAAAATGCCAAGAATAAGTTGAAGTGAGATGGAAACAGATTACATACTTGAACTTCTTGGATGACTGAAGGGATGCATGTGTGCATGATTATAATATGGTTTCTAGCAAATATTTATTTTATAGATGCAGTCAAAGTACACCTCCAGTGGTAAGCCAAGCGGCAGTGGACTCCTCAGTACTTCTCCTCTGGGAGTTACATGTTTGCTGCAAAAAGTGTTTACTGAACAGGCTGCAGTTTACTGTTGACATGGCTGTGTCACCATGTGCATTTACTTGGTCTTCTGATGGTATGCTGCTCATTGCGGATGCGACTGGAAGTGTGTTCATGGTACACTCACATTCGTATTTCATGGTTTAACGCTTTCATTGCCAACAACCACAGCTACCATTCAAGCACCTAAGATCATTTGCAGTGCTCTACCTCAATTGTCAGATGATATTTTTCTGCAGTTTACACAAGAAGTCAGAGATGTTATAATATTTAATGAATAAAAATGTGCATAAATTTTCATCACATGTATATGTTTTGTCAGCTCAATCACTTATGTTTTATGTCCAATCTATGGTGGCTTTATCTGCTTGGAATTTAAATACAGTGGATTCCAGTTAATTGGGACACATCAGGACTAGAACACTTTGACCCAATTAAGTGGCTGCCCAAATTATGCAAAGTTCCACGTAAAGAGTTAAAAAGGTTTGTTCTTTACTATTTGTCCCAAATAAACGGCTGCCCTGATTAACCGATGGCTCAATTAAGCGGAATCTACTGTACATGGCAATAAATATGTCAGAATAAAATTAAATCCACTGTTTTCTTCAGCACATCATACTGGTGCCTTTACGAAAAGAAATTAAGAGACTGTGCACTTAAGTAATGCCATGTTGGTATCGTTCACATAAGAATGAGACATTGCCTTTTGTTACTTTTTGAAGGTTTATATTTTGCCCCTGGCACTCTGCCATAATGGATGAGATAATGATCATGAAAAAGACACAAGGCAGGATATACAGGACTAAATCTTCAGTATGCAATATCATTTATGTAGAGTCGATTAGATTTGTCAACTAGAGACTTATATTTGCAATGAATGGTACACATATTTCCCCTCTTCTTGTATTTGTATTTCACAAATGTAACTCATCACTATTATTACACATGTATTTGAGTGTAATTTATTGCTCTGTCTATAACCTTTAATGTTTCCCATGTTGGTTTTAATATGCACAATACAGATTGAAGGTGAAAAAAGAAAACTCCAACACATCTTTGGTTGGACAGGAAGGCCTGGTTCTGCAACACCATCTATTGTATGGTACAGGACAGGAGTAGTGATGTCAGGACCAAGCGGAGAAGTTAAAGTAAGCAACAATTAATTTATTCTAACAAATAACTACAAAGTACTATTCATTATGATAGGACGATGTTAGAAGGGTTTTGTACTCAAGATGTTAATTATTTTACAAATTTTGACCCTCACATTAAAACTGTTTGAAAATTAAGTGCTAAGGTAAAAATATGGACCTCCAGAGAGATAGAGAATTACAAAATTAAATGCTGAGGAACTTTGTGATTTGCAATGCCTTGCCCGGTATTTTCTCTTTTCTACTTTGCTATGGCAAATGAACAGATTACATCGCATCTGAAGAATTCTTCGGCTGAGACAGCCAGCCTCTGGGCCAAGATTTGAATCTGAAAGTTCCAATATTTCACGCCTAGTTTTGTTATGTTTACGTACTGTACTATTATGCTCATACCATCTCTCAGAGCTTCCAGTGTCTATGACCATTTCATCTCACTTAACACTAAACAGCCTCTGCAGTTTATACATCAACAACTACTGTCCATGAATAACTGTTACGTGAGAAACAGAGATCCTTTACATCTGCTGATGATGTTACCAGCAGGTGCACCTCCATTTTCCATCTACCCAATTTTTGTGTCTTCATCAGACTTGGTTCATCATCGTAGAAAATAATCTATAATGTATTTGCAGTACTACAAGAAAGCTGCTCCCCACGAGTGGCAAGTTATGTGGACTGTTGCTCCTGATGTGCAGGTAGCCAGCTTGTCAGCATGTCCAGGGAGGGATTACCTGGTGGCAATGTCAATAGAGGTAATGTAGCTCTAACACTCAATCAGAAAGTTTTGGATATGTCTCCTTTGGACTTATTCAGAAAGTTTTGGATATGTCTCCTTTGGTCACTAGAACTATAAAAGTGTAGCTTTCTTAGATTTTGCATCTACTGTTCTTCTTCACAATTTTTGTCATTGTCAGGAGCAGCCTCACCAAATAGAATGAATAAGATGTGAGGAAAGATAAGCTTAACAGTAAAATAACATCTGGACAAACCTGAAAACACATTGCTCCTGCAATAAAGCTCTCATACCCTCTCTCTCAGGAACATAAATATTTAATTTCTACTAATTTTTTTCATTATATGAATAAATTTTAACCCTATTTACTGTGAAGTAGAATAATAAAGAGGCACAGTATATAAATACTAAGGGTTTAGTTGTGCAGTTTCTTTAATAGTTTAATTAGTTTATAAAAAGTTCTCTATTGCTGTTTATGAAATATGATTACATTTGACAGCAGCTTACATGGTGTCTGCCCATAAGCCAGATGATTCTTCTGTCATTGTGATTGGGCTCATATGACTGTCCACCACATTCCAAAACCCCACATAAAATTGATAACTCGACAGATGAGAGGTACTTTGTCTAATTACAAGGCTGATGAGATATGAAAAATAACAAATAATGCATTCGGAAATGTGCACCCCACAGGAGCACGCCTTTACACTCCATTAATTTTCACTTTGTGTGCTGGTATTTGTAACACTTTGCTTCTAGTCTTTTATCCTCTTTCTTGTTTCCTCCAGGCTGACTTGTTGCAATTTAAAGATGATGATGGACCACAATTTGTTAAAATCCGCTCTTATGGGAGACATTTTATGTGTGTTTGTCTCATTAATCCATCTGGAGATCATATTGCAACTCTGAACGCAAATGGATGTATAAATACTTGGGCTATGAGCAGTGGAAATTTGGTATGTATAAAATAACACTAATGAATTATGTAAGATCCATTACACAGTTTTGCACATCCTCCACATGTTTCACCACGAGTATCCTAGAAGGTTACGAAGGGCTGAAATTGAATGGTGTAAATTTCGTAACTGTATTACACTAATTTATTATGTTACATTATAAATACCAAACAATACTTCATAACATTTTTTCATAATTGAAAGCAATTAAGAAAATGTTACAAAGTTTAATAGGTGAGAATAGAAGTAACGAGCAACAATTAGATTCACAATAATATTACCTTATTTAGATTTGACTCAGCTACTATGATTATACATTACTATATGTTCAGTCAAAGCACACACTTTTAAGAACAGAACCTAAACGTAAGATTTTTTCCACTATAGAACTACATGAGGATTGCAATAATGCAGGAGAAGATATAAGTAGAAGCCACTGTTACAATTTAAATTATTTAAAGCTTTCCAAATGCGACTCTAACTTGAGTTTATGTCTATAATGGACATGGTAAAATAGCAGAACTCAACCTCATGGATAAGAATGGGAGTTTCGTAATTCAGTCTCTGAGACATAGAAATACTTCACTTATTTTCTTAAATTGAAAGTCACATCTTACACTTTCAGGTGGGTGAACTGGTATGGGATAGAAACTGTCTGGTAATGGTATCCAATCCTGTTCAACCCTATTTGGCACTTGGAAGAGACAACGGTATTGTGGATTTCATAAATGTACTTGCACCTGATAATCCAACAACTCTAACTACAGTAAATCTTTGTAAGGAACAAATATCTGGTATTCAGATTTCTCAGCAAGGAAATTATGTAGTGGCTTGCATTATGGAGACTGGGATATTGTTTGTCATTGAGGTACACAAATTTAAAATTACTGGCTTAGTATTAAAAATAAAAAGTGCATCTCCCTAATATCTCAGATAAGTAATACATCAGATTGTACATTTACATAAAACAGAGATAACTGAGGGCACTTGAGAACATAGCACCAGTACTGGGAAGGAAGGAAGGATGTAATAGGAGGATGAAGAATATTGCACAGCAAAGAGCTTCATAATTTGTATTAATCTTCAAATATTATTAGCGTAATCAAAACAAGGAGGGTCAGGACATGCAACAAACATGTGATAAGCATACAGAATTGTACTCAGAAAATCTGAAAGTCATAACCTTACAATGGATTAGTGCTATCCTCCTAACTAGTATCAAGTTTTGCTGTCATTTCCTGTTCCAGTCTATGTTTGTAAAAACTTATTTGTTGTTGTCTTACAGAGTAAGCCAGGAGTTCAAATAGAGGTGAAATCATTCATAAACACAAGAGAAAAAATGGCCAACATCTCGGTAATAGAGCTTAAGACTGATTTAAGAATCATAAGTCTAATGTCAACAAGAATTTTCTGTCCCTCTGGAAACAGAATTATTGTATTCTCAATGGCATATGAATCTAGAGAACTGATTCAGTACACCTCCATAGACCTGCCTGGATTATATTCAGGATTTTATGTACATCCATTTAAAAAGTACGATTTCTATGCTATACCACACAGGTCTCGACAGTTTCACTTACTGCACGTGTCACTTGAGGTAAGTGAATCTATTGGGAAAGTCCACAGTGACAGATTTGCACAAAGTACAGCAACTAACAACAATGAACAGATCTCTTTGTAGCTTGCTGTAGGGCTGAGTTCTTGATTTTAAACTAAACTTTATGTTCAAGGTCTTACCTTGAAGAACGTAGATTACAAGTGTTTGAAAACAAGGTGCTCAGGAAGATATTATTTGCACCTAGGAAGGAAGAAATAAGTGGGGGAATTTAGAGTACTGCATAACAAGGAGCTGCGTGAATTGTACGGGTTACCTAGCATAGTGAGGATAGTGAAATCTAGGAGGATCCGATGGGCTGGACATGCAGCATGTATGGAGGAGGGGGGCAAGGGGTGCATACAGAATTCTGGTAAGGAAACCTTCTGGAAAACGGCCACTTGGAAGATCAAAAAGGATCTTAGGGAGGTAGGCTGTAAGGATGGTAAATGGATGGAGTTGGCTGAGGATTGTGACCGGTGGTGGGCTTTGGTGTTGGACCTGCGGGTTCTGCTGCCAGGGAATTAGTTATCAACCCTAAATGCATCTGAAACACCTCTTCCAGTCTGTAACACAGACAGTTATGATCATACTATTTTCACTTACAGAAACAACAGTTACAATTATTGGATGCAAGATCAAGTGGCCACCAGTTAAGAAAGTATGCAATGAATGTGACAGAGCATAACGTTCTCTCATATGGCTTAGATGGAATGGCTATTCTTCGTTCAGTTGCAACAAATGATTGCAAAGCTTTCATTAAGCCTCATCACCACATGGATTTGGGAATTAAGACTGCTGTAGCAAATCCACTAAACACACACATAATATCTTTAGGACAAGATGGAAGTATGATCTGCACATATCTCAGGTAAGAGAAAAGAAATTATTTGGGAAAACAATGAAGGACTACTCTACTTCAGACTATTTTGTATGGTGAAATTTTCATTGTCAACAAATCTTGGTAAAATATCATCTACCATACTCATTTCCTTTTATTTTCACAGAACTAAAATAGACCAACTGAAACAAGCACCTATGAGATGTACCTTATTAACAAAAGGAATCAGTCACATGTACACTGAAAGCCAAACATCTGAATTTATCAACAGGACAGGTAAATATGCAGTTTTTGCATCCTTCTGTAGTGGTGGTGGTATTATTATCATATAAAGGAACAAAAATTCTGTCACACACAATATATTTGTATTATTAACAATGTAGAATTAAATTCTGGGCAACATATTTCAGTCACCCAGTATCATCATCAGGCACTCAAGGATGTATTTCTTATTCTGCAGCACAGTTACATGTCATTTGTCATTGTCTAGAATTATGTATTACAAAAATTAAGTTGAGAATAACAAATTAAAAATTAGAAGTTGTGGTCTTGCAGTTAACTGTAGAAACTAACATTATAAAAACTGTTCATTATATTTAAACAGGCAAATATAATTGTGAGTTATCACATTAGCTAAGTAGTTAATATAAGAGCATGAAAATACAGGCAATATAAAACATAAATTTCTTAAAAATTACTTAAGCTGTGTCCACACTTGATTAGAGTGGATGTATTGAGTATGTGCTGTTATTGTATTCTATGATTTTATAATTGGAGTATACACTGCGTGCTTTTGTATACTTCCATGTCTAGAAGGCAGCATGCAAAACATAGTATTGAGATATTTTTCCATTGACAGACAAAGGTATCCATATTTATTGGCACTCTGGGGGACATGTGGGAATCCATTTCTTCTCAGAAGTCACCATCTGAAGGTGTATACATTGTGGACTGTGATGTTGGATGTGTGTATTGACATTGGTTGTGCTGTAAGATTATAGTACAAAAATATTTTAATAGGATGTATAGGTAACTATTTTGAATAATTAAATTTGTGAGTACAGATTGTTTTAAATTATATGATTGCTACTGGCTTCATAGGTATTTGCATTACTTACTTGTATCTTCATGGAATCTGCTTCATGAATGGCTTGTGTGAGGTCTGGAGTTTACTATGTGGGACTGATGGTGTGTCATGAAAATTGGAAGCATTTGGTTGGATAGAGGAGGGTGGGGGGGGTTGAGGGTGTGTCCATAAGAGCTTGAAGATGATCATGAGTGATTAAATATACTGTATCACAGACTCTCTGTTCCTTTATGTAAGACAGGTAAATATATGCATGCATGTGCAAATGATGCACGCGTGTTCGTGTATAGATTAGACCAACCTTAGAATGTCGTTGTGGATTTATTCTTTAATTTTCTTCCTCAATTTGTAAAATAAATAGTTGCTGACTAGAAATCATGCACCTATGCATTAGCAAATGTCAGACCGGTGCTCAAGCTACTCCCAAAACGTTGGCAGAGGATATGGTTTATTCACCATTCAGCCACCCGACACGGCTTGAAGGCCGAGTCTTTCATCGACTTCAGTCGCTGCGAAAGCTTCGCTTTGTACGGAAGAATATAGTGTTAGGGTTAGAGCCCCTAGCACTGTGCGTTTTTAAAAACCTTAATTTGTCATTTCTAAGGAGCCAAGTATGCCAAGTCATTGTTGGTGCAGCAGGAAGTCACTAAAGTAATCGAGGAGAATGCTGTGTGGGGGGAAGAAAAGGCACAGCTGAAAAAGCAGTTCAGAAGTGTTCAGAAAGAGGTAAGCAGCAGCTTCCTACAGATTAGAAGGCACAACCAATATTACCGTAGTGTTGTTTGTCCGATCTATGCCTAGGTAAAGGGGTAGAAGTCCAAAATTTACAGCCAATGTATGTCTGCTGCTTTATAACCTATATATTACCAGTAATGTAACAAAACCAACATTTAATATATAAATTTATGTATAAACTGTATATTCATGTTGTATACAATTGTAAAAAATCAATAAACTTGACTTACAAGGACTTTGCAAAGATTATGTTTAATTTCCTGGGCTTGCCATGATTTGTGGCCAGCAGAACTCTTCTCATCATGAGAGGCTGAACCCACTTGTGTGGCACAGGCTACAATAGCAGTAGTCCCACAACACAAGGCATGAAGTGCATGGTTATACAATCCAATTTTGTCTCCAGACCCCACTTCTTATTCACTCTAAAATAGGGTCTCCATTCTGTTTCAAATGCACAAAAAAAATTGTTTTTGCAAGTTTTAAACGTGTCTGTCCTGATCTGGATCCAGTGAGAAACTGCCCACTGAACTGTGAACTAAAATGGCACTTTGTTGTGATGACTTTCTCTTATCACAGCCTATACTTTATCACAAATTTCCTTTTACATTTTAGTAGTTTACTCCACAAATTTATTTGATAGTAAGCAAACAAAGCACATGTAGTCATGAATATCCTTGTGAGTTTTGTTTTGTTCAATGAGTAATTTAATCACTGATTTACTTTATATTCAGATTTGGGCCACTGAGTTGATTTTCTCACAAAACCTGTCAATACATGATGCAGTAGCACCCACAGCCCTCTTATTCAGACACCATTGTGTATGTGAGGGTTATCATTGTTTGGCATTAAAAAACTTGAATGTTAGTGTGCAGCCCTGTTGGAGATGAATTTTACAAATCAAGCAGAAGAAAAGTTGCCACTCAGTGCCTTTGATCTGGATCAAGAAACCAGAAATGAAAGAAGAAGACAAGCTCAAGACAAGTGCCGAGAAACTGAGCTTTATCTAAAAGCATTAACTGCTGTACAAGATAAACTATGTGAAACTTTAAAACAGAGGCACTGGACTGCAGTGGAGACAAAGGGCAGCAAACTCAAGGTATGAGTCACATATATCCGTAGGTAAGTCTGAAGATGAAAAATCAGGCATGTTTGCTTCCCTTATTCATATGAGTCATGGAACTATCATTATTATATTTCAATTATGTAGTTTATCGAAGTTTATGTTGATGAGCAGTCACATATAAGAAGAGCAAAGCTGACTCAATAATAGCTTCCTTCATTGACACTTATTCAACTGCAAGGTCATTTAGCCTCCAATTAGACCACAGGATGGTTACGTATGGTGAAATGAAAGGATTAGGGATGAAGCAAACATAATCTACTTTCAAAATACTACCCCAACCAACATTTACCTGATAGGATTGTAGAAATTCATGCAAATGTCAGTCAGGGAAGCTACATCTACAGCTGATATTTGGATCTGATTCTTTGCATATAAGTTACTGTATCACAACTTTAGTTAAGTTGCTCAGTTTGACCTTCATCAAAACACTTGTCTAGTAGAACTAAAAACAGAAATGTGATTTGTTTTGTAACAAATTCAACATCAACCACAGAAATGAGTTTTTTGTTTTGTAACAAATTCAACATCAACCCTGACAACTACAGTTCTGATACAGGCAGCATTAGCAGTACATTTTAATTGGTTCTTCCATTTCTTGTGGATCCAGGCCATCATGGGAAGAGTTGAAGTAGAAAACTATCCATTACTTCCCAAAGATGTTTCTTTTGAAGAAGAGTTTAAATGGGTTATGGAACACAGAAAACTAGAAGTACAAATGCAGAAAGAAAGCTGTTTCTCACCGTGGGATCCAAATGATAAGTAAGTGATGAATTTTTTAATAACAGGGATGATTTTATGCAGTAGTTTCTCTCACCCTTTTACTGTCATGCCTACTGCTACTGGCCACAATTGAGACCTACACGCAATGCATTCAGATAAGACAGCTAAAATATAGTAAATTCAAGTGATATGTTAAGTCTTTTATGAAGTAGGAGTAATAGTAATTATTATTTACCTTTTTTGTGGCAAAACATAATTTACTGTTACAAAGTTCAAATGGTTAATCCTGTTTATGGAAATGATCACTGTTTTCAGTTAGAATCATACAAGACCCACAAAAACAAATTGCAAGAGTTACTGATTATTAAAACAGATGGGAAACTGGGCTCTAAAGTGTTAATTTACTTCTGCCATAATTACTTATTCACTACTCTGTTTCAGAGAGAGTGAATCATCTGCTCACCCATTGCTGAATGATGCCAGTCTCATGAGACAAAATACATCCATACGAACAATGGATGAGGAAGAGAAAGAAGAAGAAATAAACAGGCTCGTTCTCACTGGCTCAACCAGCTATCACTTCATAGAAACATGTGCTTATCATCATAATCAGTTTGAATTCTCCTCTTACCTTCAAATGCACAATGAAATTATTCTACTGACAGTTAGTAAATAATCATGTTTCATTTGGCAAGCACAAATAAACACATTTATCACCACACATAACTAATGCTGTTCAAGTGAACTCTCACAAAGTTATAACTAATCCTAAATGTATTGTTTCTTCAGTTCTAACTATCACCCCCTTGAAACTTGGTAAGAATAGCATGTGATTATGAATGACCCCGTCTTGGTGCTTTGTAACATTTTTAAGAAAATGGAAAATAGAACTAATAATACAAAAACCTATTATGTCTAATCCTAAAATGCAGTATACAAGCAACAAGTACTTTTAATTTGTAATAACTTTAATTGATTTAGTCATAAATGTCTCAAAGTCTGACCTATAAAGTCATGGAATGTGAACACACTAATGCATAGTTTGCGTGTTCTTTGTAAAAATTACATAAAATCAACTCTTGATGTAGACGTCATGTTTTTCCACCATACTGTCTGCATGTTTCATCTGTGAAACTATTCAATACATTTTTGATAGAATCTGCTACTGACTGTTAATACAAAAAGTTGTGAGTTTGGTGAAGGTCAAACAGTAATGACTTGCTATAGCTAGACACATACACAAGGGCTTCTGAATGAGACAGCAGTAATTTGCGTTACTTTGTGCTCATATAGACTTTTTTTTCCAGAATGTTTGTGCAGCTCTATGTGAAAATTTCAATAAGCAATTTAATGACATGTATGCCTTAAAAGAAAGAGAAATGTTTGTGGTAACAGAACAGAATGCATATTTACGTTATATTCTCTCTGAAATTAATAACACATGGACAGAGATAGCTGATCCAGAGTGGACTCAAGAAGAGAAACCAGAAAGACTAATGAAAGTAGAAGATAATGAGGTATAAACCAAACATTATAAACTTCATAATACTAACATTTTTTAACTTTAACAGATGACTGCAAATATATGGATAATCTGAAAGTGTGTGTGTGTACATCTGCAAAAAATTTCTTCTTCTAAAACTAGAGTACAATCAGCATTATCCTAATATGCGATGGTTGAATACAAGAATGCTGAAACAGCAATTTTAATTTCATACTTATACACCGAAAATTCATACGTGTTGAAGTATCTAATCTTTTGCACCTAAAGAAGTAATGCACATTTGAAGGATGACTTAAGCCTTTAGCGTCCCCGTGTCCTGACCAGCTGCACTTACGGAGACTTTTGCAGTTTGTCTCAGTCCCTGTAGGCAAATACAGGGACAGTACATTCAAACAGGCCACAGTCACTTCTACATACAATCTTCTTCATTGTTCATAATTATGGTTCAGCACTACATAATCTATGCAATTGACATGGTGCATGTTTCAGGTTAGCATAACACCATACATTTCACCCAGTCAGCAGGTGGTCTTGGAGAGACTAGCTACTGGGGCTGAAGCATACCACGTTGCAGAAATGTCTAAAAACTTTCGTGAACAAGCACTCATGCAAATGATGGATGGTGTATTGAAAGTTCGTTGGGAAGACGAGATCAAGAAAGATATACAAAAACCCAAATGCATGGTTAGTTACTCAGATTATTACTTACTAACATGTGAGTTTTGATTTAAACATTTTGATATTAATAAAATAAGAGGGTTGATCAAATTTAATATTCCATATTTCAATTAAAAAAATGAATGAAGTCAGTTATTCTTAGAGTATATTCCACCATACCTGAAAGAAGTTTACTTTCCGTGCTACTAATAAGTCATGAATCCAGGATAAGCAATTCTTATTTTAGTAGAAGGAATGAAAACATAAATACATAAAAACTGAACATGAATACTGAAGATCATAAACCAACTGTCTGCCTCGCTGCTCTCAAGAAATGCTGATCGCTTGAACAAATTTTTCTTAGCACCTCTAATATCAAATTTCATCAAAACCCATCCAGCAGTTCTTATGCTGAAACTATGGGTGGATGAGAGGACAGACAGACAAATAAACATGACCTCCCTGCATGCATTCACACAATAACAAGTTCCATCTTCATACAACTACTTCACTAAGTTTCCTCTGTTTAGTACATGAAATTCCAGAGTTTATTAACTATCCATGTTTATATAGGACATGACATCAATGAGCATAAGCTTTTTCTTAAAATTTTAGGGCTGTAATGCTCTGTTCTTGCTGAGAAGTACTCTTCATTATGTTTTGTTATATTACACAATGGTCGTGCAGAAGTTAGTAACATAGAAGTACTGTAAAATCTCTAGTGCCTCAACAAAGTATTTCGCACAATTTCTCTGACCCTCCCTGCATACTGAAGTTTTGTTGCCTGTTCTCTGTAGCAGTGAGCCAAAAGTCTATAGCACACACAGATATTAAATGGTCCTTAATCACAAATCATTTAACATCAGTGTTTATCTACAAATAATATATTTGTGGATAACAAGGGCCTATTCTTCTGTACGCTGTGGTGATAATTTCAAGGTATGTTCAAATATGGTTTATTCTGACGTATCAAACTGTCCACAGATTGAAAAGAATCCTGAAGATTACAACGATGAGGACCTAAAAATAATAAAGGACTATGAAGAGAAAGTGGCACTTCATTTGAGTGAACGTGAAAGTTACAGGGAGATGCTTGAGACAGAGTTCCAGAAACTCTCACAGACTATCAAAGTAAGGAAATTTTCACATCTTACATCCATTCCAGTTCTGAATAGGAGTTATGACATCAGCCTCTATTACATCAGATAAATGGATTATAACACCTTGTACTTGCATTTGGAAATATCACACACTTAAAGTTCTTTAAAGTAATTTCCACTCATTGGTATTACACTGCATTACTCATACTTCATACTAAATTAACAGCAATATTTTATTATTCAAAGTCCACACTGCAAATCATTTTCATAATATTTATGACATATATGTACATCTGATCATCACTACTGCATAAATAATGGTTTTATTGCTGAAAGTCTGGTGCCTCAGCCAATATAATATTACAGTTACATGAACCTAATAACTGGACTTCAAAATATTGTGCTGCCCCTGAAGATGGTAATAAGCCAAAACATACAGAATGTACAAAAAATATTGAAACCATATTATGAGTAAGGCAACATATGTAATTTACATGGCTTTAATACTACATATAATAAAGGGACAGCATCACTGCTATCCAAAAATGATATGAAAATAAGAACAGTGGTACTGCTGGAGGGCATTGGTTAATCCAGTGATGAACCTTCAGGTTCCCTAATCCAACTACTTAGTTAGGTACTAGTTCTCTGACAGATTAAATATCTTTAAACAGCCTAATCTCAGATAAAGTTTCCTAGCCAGAAATTATTCTGTTGTTATCTATTTGCATATGTGTTACATACAGAAGAGCACAATTCAGTATATTATTTCAGATATCTTCCAAAGTTTCTGTCTGATAATAATGATCCAAAATTTATGGAACATACTACTTAATCCAATACCTGTATTTATTTCTGCTGCTTCCATTATTGTTTGTTTCTGACTTATCACCTACTTGCCCAAATTTTCTCTTTCCAGAATGGTGTAATGAAGTTCAACGGTCAACTACACGATTTGTTTATTTTGAAACTTAAGACTGAGGCAGCCATTGGACAAGAAACATTAAAGATGAATCGATACATGTACATGGTTCATAAAAGATTGTCTCTTAACCTAAAACAGAAAAAGCTCAAGTAAGTAAAAAACATAAACATCAACAAATATTGGAGTTAATGTCATTAATGTTGCTGTTATTCAGCAGAAGCAAGTGATGTGCAATTTTGAGTATGTAACATGGAGTCAAGAGTCAATCAAAATTATTAAAGAAAAAATGGATGTAAAATAAAATATGCAGAGGACAGAAAAATACAAAATTATAAACTTGTACTCCAGTAGAGTTCACATATTTTCCAAGTACATTATTTGTTTTGCATGCCTTAATATTAATTTATTGCCAATACAAATATTCTGTTGCAAGTCAGAAATTACATTACTGGCCCTTCTGAGCTGCACCAATTCTGTAGTTTAATTCATGCACCTAGTCTAGACTTCTTCTTTTCCTAAGACTCACTATTCCCTATCTTTATCCTTCCCACTCACATCGTTTACAACCCTCGACCACTCCAGGTCTCTCTTCCCCAATACACACCACTTCTCCCAACAGCTAAAAGAAAAAAATCACACAGGGGTTTACGGGGGCTGTTTCTATTCATTCACGATGTATCAATCAAATTTGCTTGGGCCAGGCACCAGTTCCTTCCTCTTTCATGGCTCTTGGAAGACTTTACTCAAATGCATTCCCATCCTACATGCTCTGTCACAGAAGATGGAGTCAGAATGTTCCTCCAAAACATTTGAGCCATTGCCGATATCCACTTGATGCCAGTACCCAAGAGCAGAATCAACATCGTCAATGAAATATAACGAAAACTTAAAATCAGTAACAAATCCTACTGTTGCTTCCAGTTTGTATATATATATATGTAGTTGTTCCATATCAAGAAATGAAGTGAAAATATTAAAATGTGTTTCACACATGACACAAAATATGCTGATTGAGAAAATAATTCCTAGTTTCCATAAAGTTAAATTTAATGAAAATCATTGTATCTTTTAAACAACCACTGTTTCAACAGTTCCTTGATCTCTCTATAAATGTATAAGAAACAAATCTTCCCCCAAAGGTAAAAAGTGTTGGCAATTGATGAAGTTGGCTGCAATATTAGCTCCATATTATTCTTCAGAGTAACCGAGTTGTAACAATTTGTAGAGCACACTGAAGTGAATCAACAGTGGAGCTAAGTCTAAAAATTCACTCATTTGAAGTAATTATGCTAGTATATGTATCAATATTCCAAGGAGGTAAGTTGGTAATCATAAAATTTTTCTACCTTCAATTGCAACATTTTTGTATTTTATTTAACAATTTTTATACTGTTAGGATGGAAGTAATCAAGCAAGAATCTCACAATTCAGCTCTACAGGAACAAATTCAGCAGCTAAAGATTTGGAGAAATGATTGCCAAGCCGCATATGAAACTGCAGTGGCTCATGAGAAACAACTGGAGAAAAACTTCAAGAAGGAGTTCCCTGAGGTATCACAGGTTGTTCTGGAACAGCTTTACAAATTTTACAGGCATGTAACAATATCATATCAGAATCTCATGTACCATACATTTAAAATACAGAAAAAAACTAATGTATTACATACAAACTGATTTTCAAATATAAAATGAATTTATATGTATGTGTGCAAGGGTGAAATACCACGGTGATGTTCCTATCGTAACATATTATAATTTACATTTTTCTTCACTATCTGTTCAAGGATCAACATTTTCAGAAAAGGCTCCAATCAATTTTACTGTCTCTTGTGCCTGATAAATATTATTTCAGCACCAGACTGAAAGACTTGTAATGAAAGAATGGTAAAACAGATTGTCAAATCTGTAAATTGTCATGACTGGAGCATTTTTGTGGCTTTCAGAAGCCCATCCATTCTGAGACAATGCTCTGAAACATGACTTCTTCCACTTCATCATACATGAATGTCTTCTCATCATATGTGGCACTAATAACTTATGCTATTGGTACTGCATCGTTATTAAATGGCCTGTGAACCGACACCTAGAATATTTATATTATAAGTTTTCACACAGCAGTCATTCAGGGCAGACTGTTGAAAGAGCAAATGTGCAATGAATTCCACATTTACAGATGTCTAGGTTAGGATTTAAACATTAGGTTAATATATGGCCACCATAGGGCAATGGAACATTTTCTTCTTTTATATATAAAAATATAGCATAGCAAAATTTTCCTGACATGCAATGTTATAATTACTGCTAAAGTACTACTTTATTAGACGTCGTCCTAACATGCACCAACGAGCACGAACATCGGTGATACTGTTGAATGAATTATCTCGGCATACTGCATCTGCAGACAGGCCATCATTTCTCCCACCTGAATATATAGAATACCTTAAAGGTCTGGACCAGATTGACAATTACTCCAATACTCCACCTGTTATAAATGAAGACATATGGGCCACACTGTGTCGCGTGAGACGCCGGAAGGTGGAAAGTGAGCTGAAGGTAAGCAAATCCAGAAATAGTATAAGAGGATTTACCTTTCTTAATAACAAACAAGTCTCTTACTGTTGTACCTTGTTTCACATATGAAGGCCAAAAAGAATATAGGATGAGGTTTACATGGCAGTGAGTCTGAAGATAGTTGTCTTCTGGGTTGGTGTGCCATGTAGTCTGGTAGAAGTTTGCCAATACTTCAGAGGTCCTTGCTGCCCTGATGAATGGAGGAACGCCAGTAAACTTCTACTACACGGCACAGCCCAGAAGGCACAAACTACTGCTTTCAACACATATATCCATTAAATTCTAAAATTCCATTGTGATTTTGATTTGGTATTGTTGCTCATTTTAATTGACACCTTATTTATGGGAATAAACAAAATTATATACATAAATTCTAGGTCTATTAAGAGATTCTGATAAAACTATTCTCAGCTCTTATAATTAAATGACTAAATTCTTTAATTAGTTTGGATGTAACTGAACCTTCACATGTATTTCTTCAATCATCTGACATATTATGATTATATCAAACATACAGCACATACACAAGTATTACTGTGTAAAATCATTTTAAGGGACAATGTTGTTAACAGCGTACATGAATTTTTACACCATCTGCAGAACCCACTGATACATTTTTTAAGTCTCACTGAGCATTCTGTTAACTTGATTTACATCACACTGCATATAACATACTCCAGGGTACATCTGTCTGTCTTGTTTAAATAGGCAAAATGCTGTGCATTAATGGTTGCTGATTCAGAGCATACACTGAATGTGTACCAGAAGAAATTGGCAGGTGAAAAGCAGCATATCACAACCTTACTTGATGAAGTACACAAAGCAAAAGAACAATTACTAGAACTTGAGCATGACACCGAGGTATGATTCTTTCAGCATACACAGTTTGTGAACTATAATCTTATATGTTCATCACCTTTGAAATCAAAAAATACACTGCTGTTTGATAGAGATATTATCTCCATAATCAGTTCCTATTAATCTTCTCATTACAGAGCCTACTGTCTTCTGTATTTGAAATGTGATTTGTATTTGTTCATGTGAAAATAAACTAATTAGCCCTAATATATAATTAAGCCTTTTTGTAGTAGACTTAGTTTTGTTTTTCTTACATTTCAAAATTTGGTCTGACATAACAGCTATTATTAATCTATTTTTTCACAGCTGCAGATAGTAATGAAGCAGCGTGTGATTGAAATAACAACAACTGGATTAATATCTGATTTTGATGATGCTGTATTAATCACCTCCAAACAGGCCAAGAGTGTAAATCAGCTGGTTAAAGTAAGTACATTTTATACAAAGTGGCAGGATTGATTAAAAGTAAAGAAAACCTATTTCCTATTCATAAAATGTATTTTACTTATCTTCAAAATACTCTCCTTGTAATTCAAAACACTTATTCTGTTTTTCCCCCGTTACCAAATTTTTGAGTATATCTATTATACTATTGTTATGATCATTATCAGACTCAAACTGGTTGGCCTTAGTTCTTTCAAAATAGAAAACAACATGAATTAGATGAATCAGTGCAAAATCTGTCTACCCGTGATCAATGAAATAAACCACTCCATAACCTATGCATTTCATATTCACTGATATGAAAATCTGAATGTTATCATGTATCTTCATGCATGACAGTATATGAAGCACTACTTCACTCCACAAGCCAGCACTGTTATCTGACAGGAAAGCTATATATGGTCTGACTCCCGAAAGACAACTTGTCCTCTAACTTTCTTATCACCTCTTGAATGTCAAGCACACATGCAATAAGCTCAGTAATGCTGAATATTTCTGATACTGACCTCAATGTTTGTGGAATTTATGAATGAAAGGCACAGTAATATGAAATGAAATCTGAAAATATATCCTACCAAAAGCTAATCCAAATTAGTTGTGCAAAGTTTCGCACCAAACAGAAGCACACATTATGCTAAGCATGCTTGTGTCCAAATACATACAGCAGTTTATAGTTTTACCAGAGATGTCAACTGACTGACAAACGGATGCACAGGATAATGGAGAAAACCAGTAAAACTTTCAGGTCTTGTTGATGGCGTGGTTCTGGACTGAGATGCCACATAGACTTGTAGCTGGGTATCACCATTTTGGAGGAACATACAGAACTGAAGATTCAGGCAGTATGTTCCTCCAAAAATGATGGTACCCACCTGTAAGTCCACTTGGCATCACAACCCAGAACACCATCATCTTCACACTGTAAGAACCTCAAATATTTTCTGCTTTGATTATATTACAAACTGTTCATAAATGCAAAAGTTATATAAGGGTTTGGCATAATGCTGCTGGAACACATCTTTTCAGAAAGCTGGTGACCAAAAGCTAGCAGTAATGCAGCAGACAACCAACTTAAATCAAAGTATTCTTTGTAAAGAATGGGAACACAGGAAGCTCAGGATGGAGATTAAGGATCTGCAGAATCATCTTCATAACTTGGAGTCAATGAAGGTAAAAACCATACTTCTAGAAAATAATCACAGTATCATTCTACTAAATGTCATCACAAGGTCAATGAGAGCAACATGAAGCCAGTAACACACTTGCATATACGAATGGCTCCAAGGAGGCTAGATTATCCAACATTATTTTAACCTTTTACCATACACAACAAGACAGAAATCATAAAATTAAGTGTCTGTACAAAAATAAGAATTCATCCACATAACATTTTACAGGTGACGACAGATATTCAAAAGTTTCTCTGTAGGAGGCTTGAAGGCATAAGTGAGAGTAAGAGTATTCTTTCAATAGGAAGAGAAATTTCTCTGCTTAAAAAGGTAAGACAGTGACTTACTACACTGACACTTCTCTGGTGTCTCTAAATTAATTTTTTTTTGAGCTGACTTAAGTCAGTCTACTTGAATGAAACTAAGCTGACCACTGACACCTCTTCTTATAGCCTCACAATGCTCCCAGTCTCATATGAGACAAGGGAAGAAAGTGATCTGTTTTATGAGCAATGTATGCCAAATTACGTCAGGTTAGAATGCTCACATCTACTGTCCCAAGATTTCCTATAGTCTTTCTGATAGTCCAAATATGTGAAGTACATAATGATCAACCGTGTGCTGTATGTTTTACTTTGTTATCAGTCATATGAAAAAACAATTCAAGAAATTCAAGAACACCTGGATGATTTAGATAAGAAGATTAGTGCACAGAACAAGGCAAATCAAAAGATGGATGCAAAAGTTGCAGAACTCACTGTAGATGTTAATGAGCAACAATTACTTAGAAATTTGGAATTTGCATCAAGACAAACAGATGTAAAACAGAGGTGAGCTACAATTAGTTCTTTTCCACAAAACTCTATTCTTACTTTCAAATTATTTTATTATGAATTTTTTGAAACAGTATTTTTAAATTATCAACTAATTTATTCCACAACAAGTATCAAAAAGTTCAACAGAATCCTATCCAGAACTTGCCCCACCCAGTTCACATGCCTGAAACATCAACATGTGATACAACGTATGAATTTTTATCCATCATGCTTAATATTGTAAACACTAATGTTGAGTACAACAGCAGTACTTTCACTCACTATTTTTTAACTTTGTTCCAATACACTTACAATTAGTACAAAATGTAAGACAGTATGATGTTTTACACACACACCAAATAATGATAATAAAATACAGCGAATGTGGAAAGTAAACGCAAAAGTAATCCCAATAATTATAGGAGCAACTGGAACTGTCTCCAAGTCACTCAGAAAATATTTGGCCAACATCCTGGGCGAACACTTCATCAGGAAACTTAAGAAAACTGCCATTTTAGGATCTTCATACATCATTCAAAAGATGCTGCTGTAAAATATATAGTCATCCCTCACAATAAAACTGCATAATACAAGTAACACATATTAAAACAAAATGCATATCAGAAAAAGCTGCTATGTACCTCAGGGCAAGTTTGTCTCGGGTACATAGAAGTAAATGCACTATAAAGTGGTGAATAGATCAATTCTTTATTATTAATAGCAGTAATAATAATAATACTAGTAAAGCAAAACAGTTCCTCCTGCAAAAATGTTTGTGACACACTCCTGAAACATTTCCATGCACTAGACTGATCTGATTCCAAGGTTTGTATTCAGAATTGGCCTTTCCATCTTTTATATGGTTTCCTTTCCCTTTCTGTCTTCTGGTCTCGGGCGATAAACTTATTAACTTACAGACCTTGCTACACTCACAATGTATCTCAAGTATTTGAATGAAAGTCAGTGGCAAAGTTCCTTTAAACAGTTTACAGATGTACACTTGTTACTGTGTTTCAGGATGGCATCAATTGTTAAGCGCAGTCACCTAGTACACGTAATGCAGAAACAGCACGCAGAGATTTTAGCTCTACAAACAGAATTGGAATTACTACACCTAAAAATATATCCAACCCTGAAACACGAAATAATTCAAGAGTGATGCATTGTACTGCATTCATAATACTTCACAGAGAAATTATGGTACCTGTTAGCTCACAGAACTTAATTTTACCTCACTTTTGTGGACATACAGTTTGCATTTTTCAATGCTGTCAACTTCATGAATATTATTAGAAGCAAGATGTGAAGTTTTTTTCTCTCAGCTTTCTCTCTGTATTCAATAAATTCAACTGAAAGACAACTTATCATTACTTTCTGACAGTGAAGTAAGGAAATACATGCATATGTATCCATTATTCCCTAATAACTTGTGAACCAAATGATGAATTCAGACATTTTGTGTGGTAACAGATCTTAAAAAATAAGGTGATTATTCTGTAGAATGTACACTAACAAGATGGCAACCATAACAACTTTCTAACCACTTGTATCACTAACTAGCATTTATTTACAATTTATTATGCCAGACATGTTTCATTGCCACGGGGCTATCCTCAGTGGCTCCATGTCTGGTTCAACCTTACATGTTAAAATGCATCATCCTAAAAATTGTAGATCACAATTAAGTCCTGTTATGCATCAAAATCATAATTAAAGATTTGGTAAATATAAGTTAAAATACAATATTCATAACAAAACCTGAAGAGACCACTTAGGAGACATAGGTGTAGATTGAAAAATATCAAATTATTACCACAGAGTCAGGGTGAGGATTTGGACTAGAGTTATACGATTCAGATTCTTGGAAATATGGCAATGAATCTTTTAGTGCCATGAAAGTCTGGAGTTTCAAGACAAGCTGAGTGACCAACAGCTTCACAAGAAGGGTTCTATCCATGTAGTCAGATCATAAACATACCTAGAAATTCTGTATGAAACATCTTTTACATGTAGGATTCGAGGTTTTCACGGTGGTCAGTCTGAAGATTGCCATCTTCTGGGTTGTTGCGCCATGTAGTCTGGTAGATGTTTACCGATGTTTCAGAGGTCCTTGCTGCCTCCATCAGGGCAATGAATACATGTTAACCATGACAATTCCACTTAACTTCCTGCTTACATGTGCCAATGTCTACAGGCAGGACAACCCACCAGGGTTATGAGATGCTCACAATTGCAAATTAGAGACAAATTCATTGTACTAAAAACAAACGTCATTTCAGAGATGACTATCTCCTGGGATGTCATACAGATTTATTACTCATAACTGTCAGACAATCATTATTACCTTAACATACACATGAAACACAACTTTGCATCAATGCATTAAACAAAGTGAAGCTGTGAAACCTCACAACAGTTTCACACTTGACGTACCATACATTCATATTGGAGATGATAACTTACCGAGCAGCTCTCATATTCTTTTACTAAACTCACTTAAACAGCTTTTGTAATTATATTTATTCCATTACAATGTCACAATATTTTACATTAACACTGATAATTGGGACATACAGGAATAACTAACCTGGAATCAAATTTCTTGTTGTGTTTTAAGACACAAAAATTGACAGATGACATTACAAGCTACTTCTCAATTCTAAATTCACAATGCATACATGATAATATATAATCACAATAAAAATTTCTGTATGTGACTTTAGGAAAAAAGTAGTAGTTACAAAATCCCATAATGAAACATAAACACAATTCTAGCCATCTAGGAATGTTTAGCACAACATACTGTATAATCAAAATAATTACTTTAACCAATTTTCTGTGATAATGAAATCAAGGTGAAGTTGAAATATCCATGTCTTCAGTATTAGCCTGATCATCGCTGG